CCCCCAGCCCCTTCTGACCATCTGCGTATGTCATTTAATCGACAGTGGATCGATACATTCGTAACGCATTGTTAGATTGTTTAAATTCGACGCACCGAGCGACAATATCGGGTGACTGTCGAGAAACATCACTATTGGGTCATCCTGATCGCCCCAATAAATTTGGTCAATAAACTTGTCACATTGGGTCTCCCCACAATGAACGTTTCATCTGGTGCCAATGATAACGCCCGCGACGCACTGGGTAGGCCGCCCCGCCAAGCAGCCGTGTGAAGATGGTGGCCGACCCACGCCCAAAGTGCGAGGGCAGGGCAGGAGAGCGTTTGAGGCCCAACGTCCCATTGCGTTTCTTAAGGGACGTTCATTGCATAGGGCTATTTTTGTACAGTCTAATGTTACTAGGGAGTTTGTGTGTGTGTCACACGACTTGAAGTTTTTACCTTGAGATCGAGTACTATAACTCTGAGATCAATACAAATCAATGCTAATAACAAGTTTATTTGGCCCGCAAACTCTCCGGTGCCATTTGTCGAGTACGATAGTGAGTCCGTGAACCGTGCGGTCTGTATGGATGACGGACGACTCAGACTCAGCCTACCCGCATTCGTTGGTCGAGACGGTCTAATTTAACGACGATTAACTCTTCCTTTCTCCCTCCGCCGCCCCATCTGCTGAGCTGAAGAAAGGGGGTCGACAGGGAAAGCAATTACCCCATTACCATCCGCATCCCGAAATCTGGCCACCACCTCACCAGGGTGTTGCCTTACATGACTGTTTCAAATAATTATGTCTTCGTTGAACCCGTCACCTAACTGTGCCCCGGCTTGTTGGTGAGCCTCCAGCTAAGAAACTATCTCAACTACCTCGTGAAAGTGGGCAATTTAGAAATCATTTTTACCCCATAGCTGCTATGTGCTTGTAAAATTATAATTTATCTTTTGGACGTCCCTACGACGTTGTCATCGTGACAGTGTCCCGGGTTTTGAGAATATGCCATCAACTTGATGACCGCCTTCGGGGCGCTGCGCTGCGCTGGGGGCCTGGATCTGCTGGCCGCCCGGAGAGGACCTCTCCGAGGAGGCTCGTCCAGCGACATACACGTAATTATGCGGCCTAGTGAGGGAGGGGGGGGGGGGGGGGGTAGACGCAGGCGGAGGTCTGCTAGTTCTTGTTAGGCTTAATTCGAAGCCAGCGAAGAGCGCCGCACGCCGGCTTGGAGGGCAGGCCAACTGGGGGGAAGGGAGAGGGGGGAGGGGGCGGCGGCCGCCGGTGTCGAGCACGGCCTGTGTCAGGCCGTCGGGCCGGACAAGTGAAAGAGAGAAAAACTGTCCAAACGTTGAAAAATAAACCATAAGTATATCCAAATTGCACGGGCTACAAAACTAATTCCCGAAAAAAAAGCGTAAAAGAATAAGAATTAACTTCTTCAAAAGTTTCTCACTCATAGCCTGCTTGAGTTTTGGTGGTTCATCGGATCCAGGCGAAAATGTCAGTGCTTGTGAAAATGTCACCGGAGGGTGAGTGGTGAGAGGGGTGTTAAGCGCGCCAGGGGTGGCGCCAGGAGTGGCGCCAGGGCGATGAACTTGGGGATCACTTAGAAAGTATGTCCGCCATTCGCCGCTACAAATTTACCAAGTTCAGCATGGGCAGGCTCTCATAGCGCCTGATAGGTAGGCAACACCTTGCCTGCGGTGCATGCGTGTTCTGCGGGCTGGCCTATCCTGAACCTCGCAGGCGCCGGGCTCCGGCATCAACGGAAACATAAATACGAGGATATTTCGCACAATTTCGAGAACACTTAATGGTTGCAGGTAAAACAAGAGTGTGCAACTGCCATGCACATGTTAGTGTTTAACTCTATGGTGCACACTCTGCTGAGACGTTGTACTGGAAATTTGTGGTCAAATTTAGTGGTAAACACTTTTTAGTATAAAAAGGTCCAGGCAAACACTTACAAGTGTGCAATGTGCAACGAAGTGTTGGACACTTTCATGTCGTTTTTACACAACATTCTCGAAATGATGTATGGCCATATAGATGGAAGCCGCGTCATTCACAGAAAAGTGTAGAGATCCCGGACAATATCGTAGTGACCCCTTTTGAAGTTGAAGTAGGGCGTGGGGGCGCGTTGCCTGCTCGCAAGGGGCCATAAAGGCCCTCAAGGCGCCGTGGTGGGAGACCGAAGGCAAGTACTTGATAACTACGACATTGTCCTGGGTCTGTGGGCCACCCTGTATAATGAGTGACAAACATGCACAGAGCGCATAGCACGTTTGTCACGCGCGCGCGCGCGCGCACACACACACACACACACACACACACACACACACACACACACACACACACACACACACACACACACACACACACACACACACATTTCTGTGAGCGGCATGGAATGGCTGCCACACACGTTGGTGTAAGCCTTTTTCATGCCATTCACTTTTAATTAATTGTTGGGGTCGCTCCTTTGTAGAGCATGTCCGACGGTCAGGTCGGGGGAGCATACGAGAGCGAGCCGCTTTGACGGGCGTGCTCAGCGCAATGCCATGATGGTCGAGCGTCAGTCTCACCATGGTGAGGGCGCCGATGACGGCTACGCGGATCACTCGACGGTCACTCCTGTGGGTCACTCGTGGGGTCACTCGTGGGGTCACTCTCGCTGTCACTTGGGCGCCGCATGCCGACTGCCGGCGGCAACCATCCCACGGCTGCTCCTGTGCACTCTCACACGCGCTCACACGCTCACACGCACACGCACTCCTTCTCACTCCGGGCGAGTGTCACCACGACGGTCACGAGCCGGTGCGGGACGGCCGGGCGCGGGGCCTCGGCTCGGGGCGGGCCGGTCTGTCTCCCGGCAGGGGAGTCACTGACGGCGCCTGAGCCCGGGAGGTCCTGCCCCGCCCCGCCCCGCCACCGGCTGTCACTGGGGCGGCCGTGCGCGGCACACCGCACCCCGCCCCCTCTGCTACCTACCCCCGCACTCCTCTGCAGCGGGGCATGCCCTCCCCCTCTCTACGGTATCTCCTTTCCTTTGCTCCTCGCCCGTACACCCACTCCTCATCAGAGAGGGCCCGCCCATGCGGACCGGGGAGCAGCGGCATGAGACAACTGCTCCTGCCCCCCCCCCCTCCTCTCCCCTTCCGACGGCGGACCACTTCCCCCGCCCCGCTTCTCATCTCGTCCTTTTCCCCTGTATTATTCCGATCCCTCCCACGGATGGTCCTGATTGAAGCATTTGATGCAGTGATTCATTCGCCCGCGACCGTAGAGGCGATGAGTGTATCTCTCTACACCGTGGTGTACCCAGTGTACCGTGCACCGTCATCCAGCCGCCCTCCCGCGTCCCGGGGGAACGCCGCCCTCCATGGTGAGGACAGGAATGCCATTGGAGTCCATATGACCCCATGATATTTTCACCCCCGGGCACAAATCATTATATTGGATTCCTATATAAACCGCGACGGCGATCTTGAGTCCAGAAAAATAGAAAACTATAGCAACCAAAACATGGTTACTTCAGCGATAGCCAAAAAGTGATGGTGAAGACAACATGAAAATGGCCGTGAGAACGATAGTGTGGTTCCGATATCAGTACTATGATAGTTAGTTTTGTAACCATACTGTGGTTGTCGCTGAGGTACCCATACGATGGTTGCTATAGCAGTCCACTTCTCTAGGTGTATGGGAGTCCACAATATTCGAACCCCTTCGCCGATTGGGGCAGGTGGTATCTGCCTGCATGACCCGCCGTACCACACGCCACACGGTGCGGGCGAGCGGAAGGGCTGCCTACTCACACGGTGACCTGAGGAGCCCAGCACTCAAGTCTCCGCCGCCACACCTGTTCTCCGGGAGAGGGGAGAGGAAGGGGGGTGGGCTCCGTAGCAATCTGAGGAGGCGCGTGGGAGGACAACGCACATCGAGCGAGCGGCCGCGCCCGGCCGGGCCTGGCCTAGCCTAGACCAGCCTCGCCTAGTCCCGATGGGCCGGCGCCGGCCGCCAGACCGACCGGGCGCACAACACAAATTCCTGGCCTGGCTGGGGCTGGGCTGTTGTTGCCCAATCCAATTATAATGGCAAGCTCAGAAGCCTCGGAAGTGCTGCCTCCCAGCCGGACCCGGCATTCGGAGCGTATGGCGTGGCATCCACCGCCCGCCCGCCTCACAGTGTATCACACCGGCACCCACCCCCTCCGTTCTCCCCCAAAGCCCACGGCTAGGGTTCTCTCTGGTGATGTCAATGATCCTGCCTCGACGAGAGAGATAAAAAGGTCTTCCCGACGCAACACGGACAGCGACAGAAAGCAGCCGCTGGGTGCAGATGGGACTGATCCCAAAATGTGTCTTGTGTTCTACACAATATTTTGACAGTCCGTGACAAATACATACCAGGTGGCTGATTCACGCCGCGCACTTTCGTAGTTATACTGTACCGCATGCACGAGTGAGGGCGGGTTCGGGTTTGTCTATTGCTCGCTGCCTACGGCTCCTTGTGGCCGCGTGCGAGTAGGTAACCAGCCCGCATGCATGCATGCGCTACAGTATAAGTATGGAAGTGCGCGGCGTGAATCAGCCACCTGGTATGGCTCCTATTCGGGCTCACTTTCGAAAAATACACGCATTTTCTAGTGATCTTCATTGCAACGACATCAGGGTCAGGCAAACAGTGGTAGTCCTTAATTTCGCTTTTAACGATGTCGAATATGCGTGGTATTTTCAATACTGTGTCCAAATATGCGTCGTACTCCTTCGTTTGTGTAGTGTCGTTCTCGCATTGTTTCTGAATGTTTCGTTACCGTGTCTCAGTCGTTTCCCGGTGTACACATTGTTGTGTCCAGTTCCACGCACCTCGGAGTCGAAAGTTAATATTCATTGCACCAAGTTGCCTAATTCGCCCCTCCTCACTTTAGAAATTATCGTCTGCGACTCCAGCTCGGCGCCCGCGAGACTCGGGGTAGGCAACCCCGCCGTACACGCATGCACTGTGGGCAAGATGTTGCCTGCCTAACAGGCGGTACGAGAGTTTGCGTAGGCTGCATGAACAAGCAGTCGTGATAACCCTTGTTGAAGTTGAAGAAGAACTTGGCAAGTTCGTACAGCGGCGACAGGCAGACGGGCATACGCTACCCCCCCCCCCCCCCCCCCACACACACCACACGTTACCTTTTCGACGATGCCTTGACGCCAGCCGCCCCGCCCCGAGCGCGTACGCGAGATGTCCGTCCCACTGCCCCCCGCTCCGCCCATCCTGTCCCGGTTACCCGCAATCCTGTTACGTACCAGGGTGGCCTGGCCGTTAGCGGGCTGCCGCGCCGGCTGGCCTGCTCGGGGGCAGCCGCGCCCGCGGGGGCGGGCCCTGGGCGGGCCGACCGGCGGGCACGGTGGGATGCCTCGCCTGCCTCCCCGCTGTTAAGAGTCCCATACCCAGTGTAGGACTCTACCCGCTGTGAGTGCTCAGGGATCTCCCTACCATTACGCCACACAGAAAGCGATGCGATGCACGAGTTGGACTCTCGACGACTTTCAACACCCTGGACAGAACAGGAGCAATTACGACTCATCACATTTTTTCTAGTTGAAAAATCTCTTTGAACGGTTAGCCAAAGGACAACCGCCAGCTGGCGGCATGGTGACCAGGTCGGGAGGGTACTGCCCGGGATGGTCGGAGGACCCCCTCTCCCCCACCCCTCGTCCATTTCCCTCCCGTCCCCATGCTAATGTTCTTATGCTTGTGGGTCTTCGGGACCACAGTTGGACAGCAGGACACACCTCCCTCCCTCCGGACACACCTGCCTGCATGCACCCCTGCCCTCCCTTCAAAGAAAATCAATAATTATTGGTAGGCCACATTAGACAAAAAAAAGTTATTAATCTCCCTTTCACGACTGATTTCAATTTGTTACTTTTTCTGCACTGGAGATGAGATGAAAAATGAAAAACAGCCATGATAGGTTCATAAAAATATATATGTTTATTATATTTAACAACATGGTACTCAATACCCTTAAGATCAGAAATACTATTAACAGTTCATTCAACATTTTAAGAAATACTTATCATTTGTTTAAAACACCTAGCATTTATCACTTATTGTTACTGCTTCCGCACAATAGTACTGTGCATTATCTTTATCCTCTGCTGGCACCAGTGTTTCATAATCTGCATGTTAAAAGCACAGATCACATTAGATTAATCAGAAGTATTAGAAGTTGTTAATAAGCCTTTGGATATATTCCTTACCTTCACATAATTGTGGAGGAAAGATGGGTTGCAAATGACTTCGAAGGAAGACACTCCTAACTTTTTTCATAGGGCACTCAGATGTTAGTGTCATTCTCCACCAATCAAATTTTCTATCAGAAGAGAGATTGTAGTGGGTAAGTCTTTCCATATTTCTACTAAAACTAGTGTAGATAATTGCTTACTTGTTTGTGTGTTCACGAACAGCATCTGTTGTCACATTAATGCTAAACTCTTGAAGAGATCCTCCAGGAGTCAACAACCCAGCTACATCTCGAACTGGTGATGTTTCACTTTGAAAATATTTCAAGGCACTCGATGCAATGTAAGGCACACTGTTTCCAGACAATGAATTTGGCAAGGGCAATACAATCTCTAACGCACAATGGACCTGAGCCAACCAGCTCAGTAACTGACCACAACTTGCAAGCCACTTTTCGCGGGGTACACCTAAGCCTGCCCTGTAATTAGTAAGTTAGGCAATCATATTAAAATTCCATACAGGGAAAAAGAAAGAAAAATTCTGAATACATCTGGTTGCAATAGTAACTTACTGAAGCAAAGTTGGTGCCTTCAACTCATCACGGCCTACAAGACGTGATTCACAAAATATGTAATAATAATCAGTAGTAAGCTTTTCAAGGCCCATTTCAATTACAAGTTCAAGCGGGAACAAACTTCCCTCAATATCCAAGAAATTAGGAGCACTGTCAGCTTGACCAGACACAAAACTTTTTATCAGTTTTGCTGCTCTTGTGGTGTTTTTAGGGCGAATCTGGAGAAAACATCAAAAAAACAATGACAGAACAAGCATATCAAATTGTTCATGGATTATTAAAGAGGTACAAATTCATTTTGTATTTGTTATACATACAAAAGGTCTATTTGCGTCGTTAAGGTCCATGAAAGTAAGATCCCAAGCTGCAGTAAGCTCACGGAAAGTTTTGCACTCTTAAGGAAAAATAAATTTAGTTAAGTAAAAATGTATTCTCAAAATCAATGAAAATATAGCAGTATGATTAAAGGCTTTTTACCAAGAAGCAGACTGAAAAGCCCATCAGTGACATCTGAATTTTCCCGTGTTCCAGCAGTAGCAATCTCTATGGCCTCATTCAAAGAAACATGTTTACTCTCCTCTCCACTGGACTCTTTCATGGCATGGGGAGCAATAGACATACGACCTAAAAATCCTGGAGCGATTGACTGTCTGCCCAAGCTCGCAGGTGCCATGGACTGTCTGCCCAATAATCCACCAGGGGCCATTGATTGCCTTCCTAAAAGAGCTGGAGCCACTGACATTCTTCTGTTGGCTGATAAATCAGAATCGAAAGTTCTAACATGTTTCAAACATATGCAACGCAATAAGTATAAGCCATAACTTTGTACCATTTTGGGCTTGGAGAGCCTGTTTGCCTCCTAAGATTAATGTCTGAATCCGAGATTGAAGTGAATCCTGGGGAACTGCATTATTTAAAAGATCTTCAGAAGAATCCAAATTTGGCAGAGCTTCAGGTGTAACCTTCTCTCTCCAACAGGTAAAGTGCAGTTCAAAAAGTTGGTGCAAGACACACAGCTGTCTGAACAAGTCATGAGCTACACTTCCTTTCCGTCCCACAGCTGTTCGAATGATCTAAGAAAATGTGATATTCTCAATGAAGTAGTGTACAATACGTATTTTAACTTTAAAGAGCAATAAATATGTATCTTACCACTTTGGCAGAAGCCTCCTGAAGGGGTACAGTCACACTGAGCTGCCTCCATTTCAGCTCCAAATTCACAGAAAAAGCAGAACTGTTGGATGCATCCGAGGTAACTCGATGACCATCAATGTTGTACCGACACAGTACTACAGCATTCATCTAGTGGAACCAAAATTATGAAAACTCACTCTTTTGTAAAACATTAACAAGTCTGAAACAAACCAAAATTAAATTTACCATACTCTCAGGCATTTGAGAAATATTCAAGTGACTTTTCTTCATAATTTGAGGGTCCATTTCAGGAGATGCTATTGAACACATGCCCTGGGATTCAACATAGCTTCTTGACCACCATTCCTCTGAGGCATGTTGACACAGCATTACCTTAACTTTCTTATTGACTTTCATATGAAGAGATGAGCTTGAAATATCGGCATCCAGTACTGTAAGGTCATTCAAAGTACTGTTCCCATTCATCGACCTGTTCTGGGATGTAGAATGTGCCCCTAGAGATTCTTTATTGATTCCACTATCAAGCAGGCACCACACATCAAGGGCTTCTGAACAATCATTGATGGCATCACTGCTCGTGTTCAAGATATTTCTGAGGCAAAAATAAAAACAAACTTGATGAAAAATTTGCAACACAGGATACATTTATATGAGGAAACACTTACGCAGCATCACTCATCTTTATAGGTAGATGATTTAGTTCTCCTTTTGGCCACTGATATTGCTTCCGTTCTGACACAGACACATCAATATCATCATTTTCGTCAAATGGGGCAGGCAAGGGATCCCCACCTAAATCAACGTCTGATTCTAAAAATAAGGAAAATAAAATATTCAAGTCAAGCAATCAATTTTAGATCTGATTACCACTATGATTAATTACAATTAAAACAGGAGAAACAAATTGAGAAAAACGTCAATGCTCTACAATGAGACTTACCGACCGATTCATTAATTTCATCCCGTACATCTAAAGGCAATGATGAGGTACTAGTCTTAATATTCTGGAAGGAAACAGTGAATTGAAAGAGCATTTCAATAATGTCTTGATCAACAAAAGATAGATCACATACCGCTTTGTAGACAAGCACGACATCTGGTGTGAGACAAGAATCAGTTTCAGAATTTCCTTCATAAAGGAGTGCTCGAAGATATGAAGGAGGATGCATAATCTGAACGGCATAATTGTCGTTGTCAGAGCCTACGACTTCACGTAACCTCTCAACTTGACAACTGGCGTCCACAACCGAAACCGGCATTTTTCACAGTACAATAGCACAATTGTTCAGTAAGCAATCAGCATGAAAAAACTCAACCCTGAGGCAGAGATATTTAAGCAATTCAAGCGGATTAAGTGACAATCTTCAATTGAATTCAGATTAGACAGTTGATTTCACGATAATACCTTGCTCAGAAACACTCTACTTATCCTTAATAACTAAACCAGGAATCAGGAATGCCAGAAAAAATACACTCGAACCAGCCAAAGAATGCTTCTCGATAGCATGGATGATGCGCGCCAAAATACAATTAATGCTTGCTATCAACTATAGGTGGCGCTGGTGCTGGCCAAGGCTTTCTGCTTTTTACAGGGTATCCAATTTTGCCCCAAGAACTTTTCAAAATTGTAATTTTTGCTGAGACTCGATTCTTATCGGAATAAGGTGATATAAGTCTCATGAAAATGAAACAATTGACACCACGAAATGTTTCAAATCACGGTTTTCATGTTCTCTATGTATTAACTTTGTACATAAGTATTTCAATTTAGGACAGTGACGTTGGTGCAAGTAAGACAGTCACCTGACAAGTATTTGTCAGCTGATGTCAGATCCCTCAGCGATTTGCCTTTAATTTGTGTAAATTGCATCTTTTTCTTTCAACATGGCACTACATTCAGCAGCTAAAGGAAAACTGATTGCTGTAATTGGAGATGAAGTGAGTTTTTGTTAAAAAATGTGCCCTAAAACTTGAGTTAATTGTTTTGTTTTATGAAGAAGGGGTTATGTTCTTTTACTAGAATTTTTAAAATCTGACAAGATGTTTTCATATTTTCCCTTCAGATACAATGAAGTTTTTAATCTTTTTTTAATTTTTTGAAAGAACTGATTCTGACATGTTGTCAAAGTTTCACGTATCTGTATGAATGAGACAATCCCAATTCCCATCCAATCTTGGCATAGGAGAAAAAAATAATGCGTGCCTGTAGACAAAAGCTTTCAGGATATGTTTGACTTTGCTCAACCATGTATCAGTGTTACCGCAGCCTTATTATTTTCCTGCTTCTTTTATTTTTTTCAGGACACTTGTGTCGGTTTCTTATTGGGAGGTGTTGGTGAAATCAACAAAAACCGCCAACCCAATTTTATGGTTGTTGACAGGAGTAAGTATTTGTCTTCTGAGTGCTGAGTCGTTAACACTCTGTATAAGATGTTTTTGCTAAAAAAAAATTTTATGATTTAGATACTAGCATAAGTGAAATCGAAGAGTGCTTCAAACGATTTGTGAAAAGAGATGACATTGACATCATTCTCATTAACCAGAATGTAAGTTGAAAGACGTGCCGGTTATTATATTTTTCTTAACTTTATGTTGGTTTTAGACATTTTAAATTGTACCCCAAATATTCAAAGAAAGTTCTTTTTCATCATCTTTTAATGGCCTCAGGTTGCTGAAATGGTGAGACATTGCATTGACAGTCACACACAGCCTGTGCCTGCTGTTCTTGAAATTCCATCTAAGGACCATCCTTATGATGCAAGCAAAGATTCTATTCTACGTAGAGCGAAGGTATTCTGATTTTTGTGTTTTCAGTATTTGATTTGTGACACATTGCTGACATACTGATTTTTTGTTGTATTTTTTCTAGGGCATGTTCAACCCTGATGATGTCTGAAGTTCATGCATACACTGCCAACATTCCATGTAATTGCTCCTTTTACCTACGTGGGAACGGTCCACTCCATCTGTAATATAATATTCCTCTTTAGATGCATTTTCTTTTTCAAAAAAAGAAAAGAATGGTTGCTTCAGTATTATGCTGATTATGTTTTGTGATGCACACATTGTCTAATATTTCAGACAATACTTTTAGACATAATGATGTATCTAATTTGTTTTTCAGTTATTTTGGCGAAGGACATTAATGTGTTGTCCACTCATACTGTAATGCTGTGTAGAACTTAGGTTGTTTGTTGATTCATAAAATTATATTGTTATTGTGGAAATTATTAAAAATGAAATTTGATTCATTCGAACTGAGTTAAAATTTTGTTTCAGAATAGATAGGGTACTGCATCCATGAGTTAAAAGAAAATTTTACTGCCTTAAAGATACACTTAGGGTTGAAAAATCCCATCACACGATAAAACAATTTGCCACTTCCTATATACATACATAACTGTACATTTTTTTTTTTTGAACCTGTTCAATAAAAACCTTTTCATAAGGTAAATAAAAAATCTCTTTGAACAAAAACATCTCAATAAATTGCTATTTACAACACTTTCTAATAAACAAAATAAACTTCCAAGACAAATTCATACAAATACTGTTAACAAATTACCACCTGTTTTAAGAAATCAAATTAACAAAATGTTTGAATAGTACTACAAAAATAAATTATGGTATTTGTTCCATATACAACATGTACAAAGGATTTTGTACAACAGTGTACAGGTATGTATTACTCTTCAGAGTTTGTCAATCCTTCCCATTTCACTAAAACCTATCAGTGTTACTTCACATACTTCTACTTCATTAACATTTGATCATTGTGACAAGTAAAACTGATTGATCATAGTGGAATGGTAACGAAGAATGGAACTAAAATTAATCAACCCAACATTATTTTTGCTCTTAAAAAACCTCAATGAATAGAAAGAAACCAACATAGCACATAGCAGAAAACATCAAACCCATACCTTAAAAATTGACTTATCATACGTACATTCATAAACATCAATACAACAGTACTACAGACATCTTGCTAAAATTTGACACACTCTAAAAAGAGTGGCAAACAAACCGCAGAAATAGTCTTCTTAACAAAAATTGCTTTTAAAATACAAGCAAAGCACTCCAGAAAAACTACAACACACAAAATAAACACCTATTGATAGAGGTAGATGAGCTCTAAGCCCTCTGACTCATGAATGGGGTGAATGCTCCTCTTTGACCAAGTCCCATTTGAATGTGCTGCAAATGAATCTCCACACAGTTCTGAAAGAGTTGCTGATTGGCAGGGCTGAGCCTCGAGCGTATTTGCTCCATGGAGCCTTGCACAACTTTTAATTCGTATGGACTATGATCTCCCTCCGACAAACTCTGAACGTTGACAGACTGGGTAGAAAAACATAATTTTGTTAGTTATAAAGCTTAAATTGGTATGGATGATCAAATACGGTACATGTCATGAATTGGGAAAAGATTTATCCTTACCTTTACTTGAAGCATAAGAGCGGTTAAGTCTGTGATTAGGTCAACCATCTTTTCACTATGTACAGTACCGTGATACTTCTCCAGCATTTGTCTGGCATCATCTCGACTGCGGTCACGCAAGTGTGATGGTGTAAAAAGAGCTGCTGTGTTGGTATCTGGGGCAATCTGAAATCCCCAATATTAAAATTTAGATAACACCAAGAAGTTTTCTAGGAGCTGACTAGTCATTGAGCAAGCAGTCAGTACTCAAAGAAGTTTATATGAAAGTGACATACCTCAAAGCACAATGCCTGCATGTTAGTCAGATAACGATGCAAGTCTGAATTTAGCCTCTCCAAATCAATAACTGCTGATGCATATTGCCGTTGGAAAAGTTCTGTAATTGGCTCTCCAAAAGACTTTTTCCTTTCTGCATCTGCATTTAAACTTCTCAGGACTTTAATTTTTCCTTTCTTTATGTTAAGGATCTTTTGCAATCTGACCTGTGGGTAGAATATATTAATTAAAATGAATGATGATGCAGTAAGTATTTGTTCGGTAAAAGTAAACTTTGGAGCAAAACCATACCAAGGTGTCCAGCAGCTTAGCAGGTAGACCATTAATTCCTGACCGCTGAGCTGAAGAATCACTACCCAGGAGCCCAGAAGATAGAATGCTGCTGATACCAGATCCAAGTGGAGTACCACTTTGGAGAGATTGTCGAGGTCGAAACTTGGAGGCAAAACTACTGAGGGAAATCATTTCTGGGGCCTCAGTTGACTGTAATATGTCCAATAGTTAAGTATATGTTGCGCATGTGAAACAATCAAGACAGAAGCATTTAAACTTACTAAGACTTCATAATCAGGAACAGAGTGAGTCCCAAGGCCTGGCCTTTCAAAAGTAATTCTGTAAGTATTGTTGGAAGTATCAACAGCATCAATTGATCCTGTAAATAGCCCATCTTGAGGTTTACGTAAGCGAGCTGTCACCCTGGTACCAATTACTAGCTGAAGCGGTATCTCATCAGGTAATTCCCTGCATTGGGAGAGATCAGTCAGCTTTCGCTGCTGAAGAAGACGAATTTTGGTACGCTTCAATTCAAGTTCTCTTCTTTCCTCTTCAAAAAATGCCTGAAATAGTAATATGATTAAGAACAGTTGTTTAAAGGAAATCACTTTTTGAAGGCTCTGCAACTTGAAGTACTTACCACAGAGCATCTTCTAGGTTTCCCCATCATGCGCCTCATTTGACACCATTCTACTCTTGACAATTTACGAGTACGCAATTGAGGAAATGATTCACGTAAACAGACCATAAAATCATTATCCCCCTCAAACAAAGTTCTGCAAAAGTAACTAGTATAAAACCCAATATCAATTAAATAAGCCTTCTGGTAAGCTTTAAAATATGCTACACTTACTTGTCTATATTACTGTAGAACCATTCATAGCATACCCATTTATGTGCTTTTGGAAGTTTCAATAAGTTCCTTAAACGCATACCAATTTTTTGGCCGAGACGTCTGTCAGGTGATGTTTGCAGTTCAGGGGGGTCGGGTGGTGGTTTACTGACAACAGGCTTAGGAGTCACAACAGGGGGAGCAGGAGGTGGAGACGGTTCCCTATGACGTGCAGCTGGTGGCTCCCTCACTTTAACAGGTTTCCTCTCTATCTTCTTAGGTGAGCGAGGACCTGGAGTTCTCTTCGGTGAAGGCTTGGGAATTGTATTTACAATGTCGTCATCAAAAAATAGCCTATTTTTCTTCCGAATTCTAGCAGGCTGTGAAATAATACATAAAAAAATAAGAATGGAGATGGGCACTTGTTACAAGATGAATATACATGAAAGAAAAATAGAAATGTGAACAAACACAGTACTTTTGGTTCCTAGGCTCATAATTTATCAGACATTCTCAAATAGATATATATATAGACTAACCATTCCTCTCCGGTTTAAGACCACTTGTGATTTCTGCGAGCTTTGAACAGGGGATTCTCCAACCCTGAAGAGACCAAGAACACTTGGTCCAAGCATCATATTGCCATCCTCGTCAGCCGAATCAACTTCGACTTTAATGTCAGTATCCATAGGCTCTTGTTTAATTACAGCCATTGCACCGTTTTTGAACGGAATTATGTCATCTGCAACACAAGTTTCATTTAGCATGCAGTAATAATAGATTAATGAACAGAAAAAAAAAGAAAAAGTAATTCTGGATTCCTTAAAGTAAAGAGAACATTAGTCAAACTGCTTCTTGCAACAGATCAGTAACATAAATAAGAAAGAAACAAATACCAGTCCAGATGAATTTTAGAACAAATAAAAAGACATCACCCTAGACTTCAAAGACTGATTCCATCAGGGAGAGAGAAAAACTAGAGTACACCTAGCAATGGGATAACAACAAGTAAGTCCTACTACTGACAGCATAGAGTTAATTAAGGTTGATGATAAAGCCATCTGCTGAGCATTTGGTACAATCGCTCGCAGGGGGTTAGAAACACAATCTAGAATTTGGCATGAGCCACATAAAAAGTTCATAAGTACAATGGAGAAATTAAGTTTATTTATGCTCAGGAGTGATTAATAAGGCCTAAATTGTTGTTACCCAATAAAGACACACGGAAGCAAAGTACAGAGTGTGGGCAACAACAGTTTCTTAAGTAACTCAAGGAACATTTACCTGAGAAACTCATATTGAAGTTTTCCTCCAACTCCAATTCGTGATGAGCACACGTAAATGTAAGAAGGAAAGCGCAAAACGGTCGAACTTTTTAAATTCACAACATTGGAAGCCTGTTTACGTTTTTGAAATTCAATTCGAAACACTTTGGGCTTCAAAGATAAGCCTATTCCGCCTTTTCTAGCTTCACTTAGTGGCATGGAGGCGAAGCATCCTACGAGGCCAGGGCTGTGACCTCAGTAACCACGCGGTATCTCCCTGTATATTTTCTGAGATTGGCTCTCGTATACAACAACGAGCGAAAGTCAATAAAAAATAACACACTTCAGTCATTTTCTATAACATCTCACGTTGCTAAAAGTGGCTCAAAGCATGACAAAAGATCTGGAAGCATATCTAGGCAGCTGTGACCGGGTTTGAATGTGGTGTTGTCTCCGTCTGTGTGGCGGGACGTCTGCTCGTGCATATTCTCGTACTTGAACTAGAATATTTGCAAAAAAATTGGATATTCCTTGACGGGTAATTAAATCCCGATATCTTATTATGTTATGACACCTTTCTTCGCCACCATCATTCCTTACACTCTTCGCACACATTGCCCTCTTGCTAAATCGGTATTCCCCTGTAATTCACAGATTGAAAGGTTATTAGGATTATTTTGATTATTATTCCCCTTTTTAATATATTTTGGATTCTACATTATTTTCTACACTCCCTTGATATTGATTGGATCATTTATACATTCTGTTAATTTTATATGTTTTGCCCCAATATTTTATCATTGCCATTAATCTGTTTTTATGAACTTTACAGAGTGCAGCTTTGGAAGTTGAAATGTCAAGTGCCCTGCTATTGATGCTATGTTTCTTATTAGTTAGCTTCTTTGGTCTATCATGCTCCATTGAACCTGTGTCAACTACCTTTGCTGTAGCAGGTGCAATAGCAGCTGTTGGTAGTTACTATGACCAATCATGGTGTAGATTGCGGGAGTGTTGTGATCAGTATTCTGTTAGCACTGATGCATCAAATATAACGGGTAAATGTGAAACAAATTTTGTTACTTTTGCTTGTATTTGTATCTTAAAACCAACAATTCAACTTGTTCCCTCTATCAGCCTTTCAAGACGTACTTCGAAGCTCTGTCTATGGTCAACATTTAATGCAAGACTTAGTTGTGAGAGCTTTAAAAAGTCATTTATCATCTACTGATCCGCCAAAAGCTCTTACAATTAGTTTTCATGGCTCAACCGGCTGTGGTAAATCCTTTGTCAGTCAGTTCATAGCACAGTCATTATTTGTTAAGGGTATGCAAAGCAACTTCGTTAGAAAGTTTGTTGGTGGTATAGATTTCCCTGATCACTCTTCTTCCATGGTTCATTTGTACAAGGTAAAGTCCTCTCAACGTTTTGGTGATTGACACTTTGACAATGTCTATGAAAGTCCTGTTTTATTATTGTCTTTCAGCTTCATCTCCAAAAAGAAATAAAAAGGATTGTTGAAAAATGTAATAGAGCGCTTTTTATATTTGAAGATGTACAGACGATGCCACCTGAAGTTCTGGATGCCTTAAATCCTTTTATTGATTACCATAAAGAAGTTGATAAAGTTGATTACAGGTACAGCATCAATTAATTCATCAGTTTTGTACATCTTTAATACTGGTTGTATTTTACTGAGCCCAAGACATTGAAGCCCTTTGGGATCAGAAAAGATTCATAGGTTGAATATTTAATTCCATTTCAGTTTTAAAAAACTTGTGTTTTACTTTCCTACAGAAAATCAATTTTTGTGTTGCTTTCCAACACTGGAGCTAAACTCATAAATCAGAAAGCTTTGGAGCTTTGGTCAAGCGGTAAGCAGAGGGAAGACATTAAACTTTCAGATTTTGAAAATATGATTCGCACCGGAGCTTTCAATGAACCAGGTTTGTCATATTTCATAATCAAACTTGTTTCAGTGAGTTATAATGTACATTTAAATACAAATTTAAATTTTGTAGGTGGTCTACAGAAATCTGGTGCCATATCACATGCCCTCATTGATATTCATGTCCCTTTTTTACCTTTGGAAGAAAAACATGTGAGAATGTGTATTCGGGCTGCGTTTAAAAAATATGGATATGACTCTCCACCTGATAATTTAGTACAGTAAGTTTAGGGCTCAATCTGTGCAACAAGATCTGTTCATATCCATCACTCCCCACAATTTTTTTTTTTTTTTATTCCAGAGAAATCTTGGATGATCTCACCTTTATGCCAGAGGGTCAAGAATTGTTTTCATCCTCTGGATGTAAGAGAGTAGAGGCTAAAGTTGGATCATCTGTTCATGGGAGGGCCTTCATCAAGTTTTAAATTGTCAGCACTACTGTTTTACTGTTTTATAAATGTGAGTGTTACTGATTGTGTGTAAATCCCAGGTTAAGGGACACTAAGAAAATAATTCAAAGGGTGTCAGACTTTAGGGCTTTACTCAGAACTTAACAAGACATTGTGATGAAATTTACTTTTTTTTACACCACTATATTGTGACAAGACATTGATTAATTTTTACTTGTATCAGTGGCACCAAAACTACTGAATTCTTTCCCAGGTGTTTTTCATTTGTATAATTGTTATAATTGATTTCATTTGTAAAATCAGTTAAGAGGCCCAGTGAAATTTTTTTATTAAAAGAATCTGTGATATAACTATTTTCATTTATTACTTAATTACTCAGAATGAAATACGCAATGAATGAAATAAAAAAATATTATAACAAAATTTTTAAGGTTACTACAGGTTTCTTCTATTCCTAATTCCATCTCTTACCCTATTCTGGAAATTGCTGCCTCTTCGTCATCCCAAACTGGATGGTTTAGTTTGGTCAAAATTCTCTCTACATTTATAGAATATACTGTCTGTGAAAGTACAGCACTTCTATGAGTCTGCAAAAATAACAAGCAAGGACAGTAAGATTTACACATGTTAATTCTGTCCAGGTACCTAATACATCAAGGGGAATTCTCACACTCACTTGTAGGGCATTTAACAGATTCCATGCAGAAATTGGTGGCATTGAGTTTGGACCACTCTGTGAACTACAAGCAGCCTCAAGAACTTCACGATCTTCAACCTGTTCACATGTTTCTTTAAGTCTTGTTAAATGAACAGAGTCGAAATCCTCATCCCTCTTGTCTCTTCTATTCTCAATAGTTTCTTCTTTAGTGTTTAATATTTCAATTGGTCTGAGAGCAAATTACGAGAATTGAACATAGGGCTTAGAGTGCAGTGCGTTGATTGCTAATTTAATTACTAATTACAAAGATGAAAAGTCTCACCCATCAAGGTTTGCAACATAAGCTGAATTCCTCAACCAGGGATTTGGAATAGAAGTTCCCATGCCATGAGGAAAGTGTTTGGAGTGTGTTTTAAAGGCATTTCTTTGACTAATCACAGCAACAAGTAGACTTTTCAAGAAATGCTGTAAGGTAAAAAGTATGTTAAGTACCTCATCATCATAATAATATACGAACCTGAATGACCTCTTAAGAACTTTGTTTACCTGGACAGCACAAACCATGAATTCTGCAGCAGAATCATTTGCACCCTCCAGGCCACATTCCCACGCTGCCAGCATGAGACGTCCCATTAAGAAAGCTTGGTCAGGCAAAAACAACTCGTGGGCGCAGTTTCTTTGAGGCTCATCATTAGGTTGATACGTAGAAGGACGTAGAGTTGGAAGATAATCAACAACTTCAACGGGCTAGAAAAATTATCTAGTACAGCATAATACGTTTCACAAGATACATCAAGAGCAAGATATAAATACCAGCATGTGGCTGACCTCAAACCCTGTCCGTTCCGTATGGTGTCGCTTTTTACTCAACCTTTGTCTTTTTGCACTTTCACTTGGGGAGGGGCAGTCAGAATCATTGAATGCAGGTGCATTAGGAACTACAGCAAGATGCGATCCTACAACTTTTGTCCGTGACATGTGTGCTAAGCCTTGGCATTTTTGAAAGAGACATAATAAAAATTGATTGTGTAGATGAATTTGATCCTTAGTTAACTGTTTTCTAGATTCCAAGTCAAACTCCTCTTTCGTAATCTGAAATATGTCATGGAATGGTTAACTGTGCGTAGCTTTAGTTATAGCAGCGGATTTCTGAATCCACAAAAGTGTTTAACTGAAAAACATACCTTCATCTTAAACCACTGTTTCATTCTTTCAAAATACCTGCCGGAAAACAAACAGTTCGGATCACAAATCACAATTAAGAAACACTGGTAGGAATTTTGCTGAAATTTAGTAGAATTATGAACTACCTTGCAGACTGATCTCCAAGCACTTCTATCAGTCGAAGGCGTGCCATATTCAAGTCGTCAAGCTCCGCCATTTCCAATGTATTTGTTGTTTTTTGTTTTTAATTACGGTAGTAAACAATTTGTGATTAGGGAGAGAAAATTCTGTGTAGACAGTAGAGGTTAGTTTCCATGTTTGGCCAAATGGTACCAACTACCAACATAAAACCTTTCCCATAACTTTGATTACTTTTAATTAATAGTTTTAAAATGTTACCATATAAACTGTAAATAAATTGAGATATTTTAGAAAGTAATCAATCCAAATCTCATTCGAGAACTCTTACGTACGCGCACCGATGGTTATGATGGGTTAGTGTGGTACGGGAGGCGTCTGCTAGCGAATAAACGAAAACGAACCGCATCGCGAATGCGCTTGAATCGGCTGGTAGAGTATTGTGTTTGGAAGAATTACCGATTTGGGGCCTGTTCCGCTGAGTTTCTGCTCCGCACATCCCTTCAAAGATAGAAGATATCCTCTTGGTGAGTTTCAGAATTTAGTTTATCTGATATAAATGTAGATAACTTTCACAAACATAGCTTTCGTGAACATTGACATTTGGTTTGGAGGTTAGGTTGTTGTTGTTTTGTTATTTATCTTGCGGGTAGATCACTCGGATCACCGCAATATTTCTTAGTGAAAATAGTTTTTGAAATATTTTCTGCCTGCTGTAATGGCCTAGATGATAATTTTTTTTTTTAACGATGGAAGAGGGGAACCTACAAATCCTTCATAGCACCTTCCAAAGCACTTTCTCAACTGGACATATTAAATGAATTCTTCTGCTCTTATTGAGCTCTACTCGTTAACAGGCAGAATAGTGTTTGATCATCATTTTCCTATTAATATTGCCTTTTTTACTACTATAATTTAAGAGAGTCTCCAAAGATGACATTCAATGATTCACAACGGTTATCACCTTATCATACGTTACATGAACCCTTATTGATTTTCACATAGTACAGTTCTGTACCTATTTGCGTCTGTTTTGTATTGTTTGTCTTATTACTGTATTCAGAATGTACATCACACCACAGCTCATATTATGTACGTTGATGCACTGCATACGTTAATTACTGTTCCATTTTGGAAAACCAGGTGAAAGTTGACATTTCTTCTCAGCTCCTTCAATATTTATTTTCTAAATAGAGAATCAAATGTTCATCTTTTGTGCAACGCAATTTTGAACATTTCTTTTTGTACTTTTCCATTTGAATCTGGCGGTGTTGGTCCGCGCCGGCTCGTTCTTACGGTCGCGACTAAACAAATTGGTTCTGTCTGACGATTAATCATTGAATGCACCCTCACCCCCTTCTCCACTCGATCAAGTGAGACGCGGATTCTCACAAGCAAGAAAGTTATAGAAGGAAGGGAAATCGGCATCTGGAATATTTTCTTGGCGCCGTGGTGGTGAGACTGCAGTGCGCCGCCGCGGCAGCTGCTGCCACCTGTGGGCGGGGAGGGGAACAAGGGCCAGGGAAGCCCGCCGCCGAA